TAATGCCACATATTTTGAAGGACTGTCATGTGGAAGGAGGATTAGGACTTTGAATTTGACTAATCTTATTTCAGGTCAACCTGCTTTGTGTAATATCATTATAGCACATCCAAGTACTCATGGCTGGAATGACAGGTAGGAATTCTTTAAGTTTTATGTGGTCTTCAGGACCATTCAGTACAAGAGGTGCAAAAATCACAGGATTCTGAGGGTACATTATATAAGATAAACAGAAGGGGACTAGGAGTAGAAAAATGGGAAATGGTGGGGTATACGAGTAATGCTTTTGCTGATGTCATTCAAATGTAATTAAAAATCATGCTACAATATTGTGTTATAAGCCAGTGCTGTGTCTGGTCTGGGAGAGGCCAGCTGTGACCATATGGTGTCAATCTTTCTTTCAGGTGAGGAAAAAGGTACCAAAAGTTACAGTGTGTAAGATAATGAGAGATGTAAATGTGTGCATATATATCAAAACCACACCATTTTTAATGAAAGAAACTGATATCCACACATTTGTACTTCTGTACAATTTGGGGTAATATATAATTTTAAGCTGTTTACAAATAACATGTACTGCTTCAAATATTACATAAGGTTGATAATACATTTCTAGCAGAAATAAATATATTGCACTTAAAAAGAACTTCATTAGATGTTACTTCATAGTATTACGYGTATAATTTCCTTTTTTCCATAGAACATTTCCCAAGCCCTTCCCTCCCACCCTGAACACACACACTTCATTATAGTGATGGTTCTCACACAGTTCAGTAAGCAAACGAAGACACAGCAAACCATGAAACTGTGATAGTCTAAAGAGGCATATCTAATTTTACCCTTTAGGAAATAAAAGAACTTCTTTTAGGTTTTGGAAATTAAAAAAAAATAACTAAATACAATATGTTAATGTACCAGAAGTAAAATACAACAAATTGTATTTTTTGTCCAGATATACTATTTCACAAAAATGTTATTTACTTATTACTTGAAACAATGAAAAGTTATTACCTTCTACTTTGTTTAGAGGGGAGAGGGGGTTGAAATTATTTGAGAGAGAAACAGAAAGAAGGCTGGAAAATATTTTTGGATTACTTGCTCATCAAATATTTATAAATGAACTTTTCTATATTTAAGCATGCTGAAGAAAAATAAGAACTAGGATATTTTATAAATGGAATGGATGAGGAAGTAATGAAGGAAGAGTTTTATGATTTTCTAAAGTTTTAAGAGTCTGTAACATTTGCTTGTTTACAGAAAAAAGAATCCTTTAATTCTAACATAATATAAAAATTTATACAAAACTCCTCTCAGCCACCACTCACTAGAGGTGCAAGTTGAAAATCTTCTGTCTAGATTTAGGCTAGAGCATCTTCTTGTTTTAATAATTATCAATTCTCTATCCATTTCATAATGAAAACAATTTTACTCACTTAAATCAGTGGAAGATAGAATAAAGTGTTCGTTTTCTTGTGATGTTTCCCTATATATTGCATAACTGAATTTCTGGAGCTTTAGTTACTAAGTCATGATTAACCTTTTCTGTATATTTAATGGGGTATAAAGTCATTCCATCCACTTTATTTGAAGGTGCTCATTCTCAGTATAACCGGGCTTTATATAAACACGACAGTGTGAAAAGCTAACGTGAAACATAGAAATGGAATAAATATCCTGACATCTTTCCGAAAAATTCATAAGCAGTGTGAGATGAAGATACTTCACATTTATTTCCTGGGCTGTTAGAGGGTTTCCTTTTCCTTTTTGTTTAGGAGATGGTTGTGGCTAAAGAAACAAAATGACAGAAGTGTGGATAAAGGTGGAAGAGGAGAGATCTTGGAATGCCCCAGAAGTCACTGTACCGCCTGCAGCTTAGCCCTACACAAGGGTGCTTGCTAGATAATACGGCATTATCAGGAAGCTTTATAATATCATGCACTCAGTGCCCAACTATCAGAAATGGTGATAGGCCCTCCCGGAAAGATACCATTGGTATAAACTCGAAGTGACCAGCAATGCAATACAAAATTGTTAATCGAGACCTGTTACCTAAAAATTTGTGATATGTTAGACACAAGATAGATATATTTATTGCTTGTACTGCTAAAGGTAGGCAGAGGAGGGAAGAGATTTACTAAATAAGTAGAAAGAATAACTGAACTTAAAATTATTGACAATTGTTTTAAAAACAAATCTCAAATTCAGAGCCTACTAAGTTATAAACTGATTTGATTCCTTATAGTTCCACCAATCTGGTCTGACAGGCAGGAACTCTTTTTAGCAGCACTGCACATTAGCTGTGCTTTTTGATACTGTAATATACTTAGAGGAAAAAACAAGAATTTATTACAAATGTAACTCCTGGTTGTTATCATTTGGTTGGCTTTCCCATTAAATATATAGTTCTTGCAATCACCTTAGGTAGAATAGATTTGGAATTTTAAATACTAAGCTCCCCAGGGGTCAATAAGAATTGACAACAGAATCATTTGGAATGACACAGGTGGGGTTAATGTCTACCTCTTGGTTCCCATGACTAGAGTGACTGATTTGCTTGCAATCTGTTTCTCTTGTGCTTTTTCTCTCTAGTTCAGGTAAGACCAATGCTTAAAAATATATCCCATGTAAAATTTCAGGGATCATTTTTTCAGAGCCTGCTTTGCTTTTCTTTAAGCAGTCTACCCTAGTTTTAGTCTCATATTGCTTAATTACAAAACAAAGTTCTGAGTTAGGAAATAATGGTATACAACTACATTTCACAAAAAAACACATAAGCCTACTTGCTATTGGGAGAACTTTCAAATAGTAAATAATCCTCTAATTCTCTTTGAAAAGGAAATTTAGACACAGATTCACTTAAGCCAACAAGTAATTAAGTGGCATCATTGTGTAAAAGAGCATCTTTTGTTATTCCTGCTTTAGGCAACAGCACTCTGTATTCAAAGGAATACTGGCAATAGGCCAACTATTAAACATTAAGCCCCTATCTAAACATTAGTCATAACTGCTTTGTTTAAAGAACTGCACATCTGTACTCTGAAAGTAAACTACCTAAGGATGCTACAGCATAACATGCAAGAAGTTAGAAACTAACCTACAGTATATGTCATAGGGCTTTGAAATGCTTTGTTAACAGAGTCCCTGCTCCTTTGTAAGTAGACTTTAGGATTCAGTGAAAAATGGCAAGTGTAAAATCCAAAATTGGCATTTCATGGCCAGACTATGTCAACATGCCTTGTTTCATGGGCTGAACATGCCCAAGAAAGGCATTTGATGTGTAGAAGTCTAACGTTAAACAACCAAATAAAATCTACGGAAGTCTGATGTGATAAGTATATTGCATTTACCCCCCAAATACACTTCTACTGTCAGTAACAATATTTCCGATCTCTCATAATAGATTCAATACTTTTKCAGTAAGAACAGAATAGAATGAAAATTACATATAGATATTAAATTAGAGTTTTGAGGAAATTGGCTAAGAAGACAGTTTACATCCTATAGCTGGAATGCATTATACCTTGAGTTGAAAGACTATTAACTTCATTAAATCTTTATTATTAGGAAAATGAACTGTTGCTAAATACCAAATGTGGTTACCCAGACTGTAAATGCTAAGATATATGATGCTCAAAAATAATATGGATTATATAGAATTAAAATATAACTGATTACTATTATACACATTAAAGAAAGGCTTAAGAAGATAGCGAAAGTTGAAAATAAAGTGGATGAAGCTCTAATGGACTTATAAGAACTACCAATGTTTCTGTCAGCAAGTTAATATGCAATTTCATATTAAGGAGTGAGAAAATGGTAAGAGTCTCCAAATGTAACACAGTAAGGAAAAAAGGTAAGTCAGATACATGGGCACATTACTACACATGAGCACACTAAATCATGGCTACCCAAGCATTTAGAATGGTCATTCTCAAACCCTGTCAATCAGTGGCAGCAGCAACAAAGCAGATTTATCAAAAATAAGAATATGGGCCCAGTGCATTTTAACATCCATAAAGTCTCCCAAAAGCTGAAGTGAAAATGAAGGGGCCTTTGGCTCCCTCTGTAGAAAAATTCCTTTCAGAACAGAACAACCATCTTTTTATTTAAGCTGTAAGTGAAATAAAGCTTCACATATCATCATGCATAGGCTTTGGAGGGTTCCTCAGTGATAAGTCAGTAGTGTATTTAGAATGCAGCCCAGAAAAAAAAAAAAATCAGTCCTTAATCTAGAGAGGCCCTTGCTTCAAAACCAACAAGTTGTTGTAAGAAAGAGAATTAGAAAGAAAAAAGACTAAAGACTGAGCTTGTCAAGTACTGGCCCTTCAATATTGCAAAAAGAGCTTTGTGAAGGCTTACTACACATATCCATCCACACAACAGGATGCATTAGCATTATCTCAGCTCCTTCCCCAGCAAACTAAATACAAAAAACTAAACATGCTTAAGCTACAGCACTACAGATATTTCTCTATTGGCTCCCACTTTCTACAGGGAGAAACTGACTTAAGTTAGTCATATGGTCAGTATGCTATATAGTATTGCCTCTTTGAAGATTCTTTTAACTGTGGAAAGCAGAAAGAAAACCTATACACACTGATTTTATACATTACTGCATTGACACAGCATTTTTAACTAAGGAGTAAAGCACCTTAACATTCATCTGCCTTATATTATTAAGCTTTCTGGGTAAATTAATATCCTATTAGTTGCAAGATTTAGGCTGGCTAAGAACTTTATGTTGATTCTCTCCTGAACCTAAGACAGGTTCCCAACTTAAGTTCTCTAAGAGATATTCTCCCAACTACAGATGAATCCTGGTCCATGGTGCATTCCCTTAGCATTAGATTTTATTGTGAGTCCAGCTCTCCTCTTTAATAGGTCCCATGTATCTTGGAGAGCCCCTGCTCCAATACCCGCCATCCCGCCCACCCAGCCCTGCCTATATTTCCATACCCATTTGCACATTCTGGATCTAAATTCTCCCCTTTTTAGAAGAGTCATACAAATGGTGTCATCACAGCAGAGGAGTGGCGYAGTCCCTGGATGGCAGCATAGGGCCCCTGCTGAAAGTAGTGATGGTACCGKGGCATGTGGAATGAAGGGAACGTTGGACCACTCCCTTGCATGGAGCTCGCAATGGCTGATGGGGTCAGAGGCATCCCCAGCCGACTATATGGTGGCAGAGAACCCTGTATGGGGTGAGGAATGGGTGTTGCTATGGATGCTGTGCTGGTGCCAAGAGCAGTCAGAGACTGTGGGTGCTGAAATCCAGGAAAACTGGAAGAAGATGATACCCAGGAGCTGAGAGACAAATTGTCAGATGTTGTAAAGGCTGACCCTATGAGGAAAAAAAAAAAAAAACACTCATTAGACTGGAATGGCATTATCTGTAAAGTTCTATTTATTTTCAAAAATATTTAATAGATCTATGATTTGAAAAGACAACTGCACTTGAGATCTGTCATGGGCCAAATCTACCTTTTTAGATATGAAGATATTATTTAAATCCTGCATGGAAGAAAGAATTTACTAACTGAAAAAAGACTTAACTCACTAAATGGCCTGCATATTCCCACAGAATGACCAAAACACAATAACTTGCCTGAAGGTGATGAACTGATTCCCTGGGGCTCCAAATATCTGTGTTCTAACTTTTGCAGCATCTCCATAAAAAAGACTCCTTATGGATGTCTAAGTCTCAACAAAGCTATATAACTTCCAAAGCCACTTATGAGAATCTAAAAGAATAAACTGTCCTATACTGCAGCACCTAAAAGTTTAAACAAGAATTGACATTAAATTTTGTGGCTGCATTAGCAGTTTGCATGGTTAAGTAATAAGAAATATTCTATATTTTCTCTGATGATATCTTCTAAAGTATGGGCAAAAAAAATAACAGAGGTTCCCTCCCCATACAAATGCTCCAGTTCCTGGGATAGAGCACCTTTGGCYGCTTCTCAGGACTTCCTTCCCCAAGTGTAGGGGCTCCTCCCTGAGACAGGGAAACTAGGCTTATTCTTCCTCTCACCACTGGGGTCATCACTTTTACGTGATACCCTTCACAGGACAATCCTCTTTTAAAAGTGTTTTCCACTTCTGTCTTTGATCCTAATAAGACATACCTAATGTACGCAGAACAGATATATTCCTTCATTTTCAGATTATATAGCTGAAGTTCAGAAAGACTAGTAAACTGCTGCCAAGGTTCAACAGCTCTTTGGTACTAAATTACAGACAAGTACCTCCTGACCCCTAAGTCAAAGGCTCAGTGTCCTTTTACTAGAAAACGGTAACTTTAGGCAGTGTAATCACTTAGAACTTGGACAATAATACATGTGGAGATCATAAGATCATAAGGGGCTGTCCCCTCCTGAGAAGGCCCTGAAATCCTTTCCTGACAGTGTGTACCTTGGGGACAGGCTGTCTCATCAAGTACCTACCTTCATTCTCCTTTAGGAACTCTAGCTCCCACTGGCTCCACAACCCCCAAAGCTATCTTACCTCGATTTTGGGTTGTCTGAGTCTCATCCCCCAGGACATCCTCTTCTCCTCCATAGGTACGGATGGGTGAGCGGGCATAGGAATGCTTCTGGATCAGGCTCTCCACACTTTCCCTAGGTTACAAAGTAATATGTAATGAGTTCACTACGAAGTTAAGAACTCAGAGATACAAGGGGGTCTTAAGGATAATTCACTAGTTAGTAAATCTGTTTTCTCAGTCAAAAGGAAACCACTTCAGGGAAACAACATGTGAAATGTGTTCATGTATTCTATTGTAGAGTGACTCCTCAGACATCAACTCAAGTCCATAAATGCAAGCACATAAAACTATAGGATGAGAGCAATCTCTTGAAACCCTATAAGACGAAGGATAAAGAGGTGAACAAGGAACCATGATACCTGACTACAGGAATATGGAATTTAATGATGTGAAAAATTTTGTGACCGAAGAGAATCTGTGGAGCATTTTCTAATGATTTCACTGACAATGAATACAAAATACTCAAATGATCCAAACGGCACTGATTCAACATCTGACAAAATGTTGCCAAAAAATCCAAAATAATTGATCATAAAAAAGACTTATTGTTTACTAACAGATCAAACAATTGATGATAGTGCATGACAATATGGATAGTTTGGGTAATGCACACTTTGAGATCTTTATTGCTTTAAGACTGAAAATTACARAAAAACTGTGAAGGAGACATCAATGGCAGTAAGCCCCTAGAAAAACTGKTACATTGTCTTTGTAGATTATCTTCCTCTTGCAYCACAGTCTGTGAATCAAAGAATGAGGTTAACTTTAAAAACAAAAATTATTTTTGGTACTGGGCAAYTGATCTGCTGCTATTCAAAAAAAAAATCTATCAAGATTTTAGCCAAGTTAAGTTCTTTGCCAAAAATGAATACTAATAGCACATAAGTTTGCACAGCATATATTTTAGGTATATCTGTGAACTAATGATCAACACTAAATTAACCACCAAATGACCAAAAGAGGATTTAAAATTTTATGTTGGTAGTAAATTTCATATTGGAGGAATAAGAAAAATGAATAAATGTCATACTAACTTTTCAAAATGTAACCTTATGATTTCACATAGATATACATACTTTACCTATGGGAAAAATACTATCTAATTCATAGTGCATTTGGTGTTCTAGAAAGCTCATGTATGTGCACAGATGAAAAGGGTAGTCTTCTCAGCTAGAATAGGGGATGAGTCTACTTCTCAATCCTCCATTCTGTTCTTTTGATCTGTGCGTGATCTTGATAACAAAACCACACTGTCCTGATTACTATAGCTCAAATAAAGTCTTGAAATTAGCTAGTATTTTTTCAAAGTTGTTTTTGTTATTCTATTCCCTTTGTATTATAATGTGAATTTCAGTATTACACTTTATTCATTTCTTTTAAAAAGCCTACTGGGATTTTGATCAGAATTGTGTTAAATCTGTAGAACAATTTGTGAAGAACTGACATATTTAGTCTTTCAACCCATGCACCAATATGTCCTTTCTTTTATTTAAGTCTTCTTTAGTTTCTCTCAGCAGTGCTTTGGTTTTTGGGTTTTTGTTTGTTTGTTTGTTTTGGTATCAGAGATTGAACCCAGAGGCATTTAACCACTGAGCCACATTGAAACCCTTTTTTGTATTTTATTTAAAGACAAGGTCTCACTAAATTGCTTAGGATCTCAATAAGTTGTTGATGCCAGCTTTGAACTTACAATCCTCCTGCTGATGTGTTAGGGTCTAGAAACAAGTCAAGATGGCGCCTGACATTTTGCCAGGGGGAGTGGTTTCTGAAGTAATGCCAGCGAGCCATTAAGTGTGGAGATTCCTTATTGGTTGACTGCTGTATCTAGTTTATGTTAATTAAGATAAACTGTGTGGTATATATACCCCTCCTGTCCTACAATAAACGGCTCCCACTCCTGCTGTATYGATCTATACAAGTTCCTCGTCACTCCCCGGTTATTTTGCTGCAGCCGGACTGCAGCACTGAAGCCTCCCAAGCCACTGGGATTACAGGCGTGTGCTACCCGACACAGCTGGCAGTGTTTTGTAGTTTTAAATATGTCTTACATGTCTGTTGCCAGATTTATCTCTAAACATATTTTAGTAAATATTGCTTTTTATTTTGATTTCKAATTGTTCACTGATAATAGGTATGTTATTTTTTTGCATGTTGATCCTGTATCCTGTGACCTTACTAAACACACCTTTTTACTCGAGTAGCTTTTTTATAGGTTTTCATTTTCTATATAAATAACAGATAAAAAAATTCTGTGTGAACAGAGATAATTTTGCTTGTTTATTTTCCAATCATGATGGATTTTATTTAATTTTCCTGGCTTATTGCAATAGCTAAAAGTGCCCATACAAATTTGAACTCACAGTGGTAAGAGTAGACATCCATGATTTTTCCTTATTTTGAACAAAATCATTTAGTCTTTGACCACTAGGTATAATATTAGCCCTCAATGTTTTGTATATGCCTGTATCAGACTGAAAAGGTTCCCTAGTTTAATAAATTTTTACCAGGAAGATGTTGAATTTTCTTAAATGTTTTCATATGTCTACTGAAATGATCAAATGCTTTTTCTTTTTTAGTTTGTTAATATGGTCAATTATATATTGATTGGACTTCATATGTTAAACTAACCCAACATTCCTGAACTAACCCCTAGTCAGTCCTGATATATTATCTTTTTGTTGGACTCAATTGCCTAGAATTCTGTTTAGAATTTTTCCATAATATTTATAAAGGATATTTGGCTATAGTTTTCCATTTTGTGATATCTTTCTTTAGTTTTAGCATTAAGGTTATTACACTGGTCTCACATAATTAGTTTTAAAATATTCCCTTTTCTTCAATTTTCTAGAATAGCTTATGTAAAATTATTATTTTTTCCTTAAATGTTTGGTGCAATTTACCAGTAAAGTCATTGCACCTGCAATTTTTTTTTTTATGAAATGGTTTTTAACTACAAATTCACAGCCATCAGATTGTCTACTTCTTCTTAAATAATATTTAGTAGTTTGGGCCTTCAAAAAATTGTGCATTTTATTTAAATTGTGGAAATTATAAGAAGTGTTTATAATATGTTATAGAATATATTCTTTTATTATCATTCTGTTTAATATTTGAAGAATCTATGGTGATATTACTTCTCTCATTAATAATGGTAATTTGTGTTTTCCACCCCCCACTTTTTTTGGGTCAGTATGGCTGAAAGAATTGTCAATTTTATTAATCTCTTCATTTGGTTCCAATGGTGCTCTTTGTTGTTCTCCTGTTTTCTATTCCATTGATTTCGACTCTAATATTTATTATTTACTTTCTTCCCCTGAACTTGGATCTCATGTGCTCTTTTTGTTTAGTTTCTTGAGATGAAAGATGAGGTAATTGATTTGAGATATTCCTTCAATACTAAAGAAGATAAAAATTTTCCCTAAATACTTTTTAGCAGCATCCCACAAGTTTCTATGTCATATTTTCATCTTCCTTCAGTTCAAAATATTTTCTTATTTCCTTTTTGATATTTTTCTTGCTCTATGGGTTGTTTTCATTTTCTATATAAATAACAGTTTTAGTTTAACATAATTATATAATCTGTTATATAAATAACAGATTTAGTTAGCTATTTAGTTTCCAAATATGTATAGACTCTCCAGATGTCTTCCTGTCATTGATTTCTGATGTAATTCATGTCTGTTGTGGTCAGAGAACATATTTTGTAAAAGTTACATGCATTTAAATATATTGAGACTTGTGATATAGAGTATGGTCTATCATGGAAAATTTGCAAAGAAGATATATTTAGCTGATGCTGGAAGGAGTGTTTTCTAATGTAAACGGGGTCAATTTGGTTGATATTCAAATATTCTTCATTACTCATTTTATATATACTTGGTCTACCTGATTATTTTGAGAGAGGAATATTGAAATTTTTAAGGATGACTGTATATTTGTCTCTTTGTCCTTATAGTTCTGCCAAACATGAAGATTTATTATTAGGTGCATAACACCTAAGATTGCATGTCCTCCTGATGAGTAGAGCCTTTTAATTAGTATGAAATGATCTACTTTGTCTCTAATAACATTCTTTTCCCTGAAATCTACTTTGACATTAATATAGCCATTCTGGCTTTCTTTTGATTAGTGCTAACATTCAGATCATTTTTTTCTATTGCTTTACTTTCAGTTTATGTCTTTATATGTAAAGTGTGTTCCTTGTAGGCAACATAAGTTTGGGCTCACTTTTTAATTCAAACAAAAATTGAGGTATTTAGTGAATTTATATTTAAAGTGATTTTTATGTGGTTACACTGAAATATATTAGCTTCCTATATGTTTCCTATTTGTACATCTGTTCCTTATTGTCTTTTTCCTTTATTTTTCCTTCTTTATGGTTAAATTTTTATGATTCCATTTTGTTTCCTTCATTGGTTTATTAGTTACAACTTTCTTATGCTTTGATAGTAGATGCCTTCACATTTGTAGTAAATATCTTTAATTTGTCATAATTTATCTTCAAGTTAATTATTATGTTTTCAAGTATGGTATAAGAATCTCACTGCCTTGTGCAGWGGTACACGCCTGTAATTCCAATGGTTTGGGAGGCTGAGGCAGGAGGATCATGAGTTCAAAGCCAGCCTCAGCAACATCAAGGTGCCAGTGAGACCCTATCTCTAAATAAAATACAAAATAGGGCTGGGAATGTGCCTCAGTGGCTGAGTTCCCCTGAGTTCAATCCCTGGTATATGCCTCCCCCCCAAAAAAAAGCAACTTACCAATCCCCAGCAATGTCCCACCCCCAAAAATCACAATAATATATTTTCATTTCTCCTCTCCAACCTTTGTGCCATTCCTGTCAAACATTTTGATTTACATAAATCCCACTATGCATTATTATATTTGTTTAAATAGTTAATTATTGTTTTAAAAAAATTTAAATAGTATGAAAATATTTGATCTCCTTTTCCAAGTAGTTATCATTCCTCCTGCTCTTCATTTTTTTGTGTAAACCCAGACTGACATCTAGTATAATCCCCTTTCACCTGAAGAACTTCATTGAACACATCTGTAGTGCAGTTTGTTTTAGCT